TTGTTATTCATGCCACTGAATGACTTTGGATAAGGGAAAGCTTAGAAGATTGTCCTTTTGCAAAAAGTGACTTAAGTCATTCTTATGGGTTGATGACCAAATTGACTCCAACAGCAAAAGCCTTTGAGAACTGCTTTGGCATAAGCCCTGCTTGTATAGTTTTCATAAATTGCTGCATAAAATGGTGAAAAATGACAGTCTAAGATATGCGAGTCTCCTAGATACAATTCTGAGATTGTTAGGCTCTCTCTTTTATCTGAAAAAGTGTAGAAAGTGCAGACTCTCCTGAAGAAACTCTACTTAAGCCAATTTGGACATTATTACTTACGAAGGAGAAGAATGTTCTTTTACAGGGGATAACAGAAATGATTGAAATGATGGAAAATGAATCTTTCCAGGAAAGTCTGGAGGCATTAGGTTGTCAAGCTGAGAGAAGAGAACGTTCAATGGCAACTTGAAAGATTGTGTTCGAATACACAGAAGGTCATGGCTGCTGCTGTGACTACAGGAAACTGACAAAAACGAAATAGCCTTTAATTAAAGTAGGAAAGGTTTTGAGTAAAGATCAGCATGAATTCCTTGACAATTAAGATGATGACACATGGGAATGAGTAACTTCCTTTTCACAGAGACTTAAAAAAATTGTATGTGTGTGTATGTGTGTGTGTGCAAATATCTAACCTAAAAGTTTGACGTCTGGCCAGTCTAAATAAAGGGTATTAAAACAAAACTCTCTATTCCCCTATAGTAATAGGATTCAACAATACAACTGCCTTCTTACCTTTTGCAACTTCAGCATCCTTAAAATCATCCCTAGTGTCTTCACAGTGACTTTCTTTCTTCCCTTTCAGAAAATGCAATCAATGCGGTACAAAAGCCTGGGCTGAGGTTTCATAAAAATTATATACCATACCACCCCATGGCCTAACTATTACTCCTCGTCCGCCATTTATACAATATTGGTTTTTGTTTTTCCCAAGCCTATCCTGGAGGATAAATGGAATATAACCTCATTTGCTACTTTCTAACTTTTTAATAACTGAGATCTTAATTCTCAAACCAGCTACTCACCACATGAAAGATTTAAGAACAGTTAAAGTATGAATTTTCTAAGCACTAGGCAGGGCCTCTCTGCCACAAATGTATTGCCTACTGGAAACAAATTTAATCAGCTTGCTGAGATGCACTGAGGGCACTATAAGCACAAGCCCCACCACCCTGATTTTAACATTTGCCACTAATTGCATCCATAGCAAATGTTGATTTAGGAAAGTTAAAGTCACAAACACACCCCTTTCAAAACCAACTCTCCCTTTCTCCCTTATAATTTGTTTGCACATCAAATGATCCATATCATAGTATCAAAATATACTCTGTTGCCCATTGCTATTCTTTGAAACAAATCTCTGGATAGTCTTGGCCAAAGGAAAATCATGTGGAAGACAGAACTTCGGGGACCTGTAAATTTATTTGTTCATTTTGGAGATGGGTGACAACTGTCCTGTTATTCTTGTTTTTCAAAATGTCTTATAATTAGGTTTTATTTGTGTAGGATAATTACCTGGCTGGCTTTTCTTTTTCCGTTTGAAATTTTAGTGGCTAAGCAGTTAAGAAATTCTTCTCAGATTTAATAGAAGGCAGCCAATGATGACATTTATGTATTACCTTATTCAAAACTAGCTCTTGGGTAATCTATTTCACAGTTAAGTTTAAACCATAGTAGAGGATAATAATTTATTGTAACGAAGACCCAAGGATATTTATTTTCAAAGTTATAAACCATTCACTGTTGCTTCCTTGATGACAAAATTCTTTCAATAACTATTTTACAACAAGTGAGCACAATTTGTATCTTATCACTGTCTCATTTTGTGAGAAGTTCAAATAACCTAAAACAAATTCATGGCAAGCACAATGAATAATAATAACCTTTGATAATTTGATGAAAATAAGTTAAATAAACCTTTACATTTATATTTACGGTCAATTGATTTTTGACAAGAATGTCAGGACAATTTGATGGAGAAGGATTAAGTCTTTTAACAAATGGTGCTGGAACAACCTCCAAAAAACTGAAGTTGTGCCCCTCCCACCTACCACATACAGAAATTGACTCAAAATGGATCAGCTACCTAACTATAAGAGTTAAAACTGTAAAACTCCTAAAAGAAAATATAGTAGTAAATCTTTGTCACATTGGATTAGCTAATGGTTTCTTAGATATGACACCAAAAGCCCAGGAAACCGAAGAAAACATAGATAAACTGAACTTCATCAAAATTAAAGTAAAAAGACAACCCATGGAATGAGAAAAAATATTTTTAAATCATATATCTGACCAAGGACTTGTATTGATTGGCAAAACATTTGATGAGATAGTTATCCAAGGAAGATATTCAAGTGGTCAATAAGCATAGGAGAAGATGCTGAACATCATTAGTCATTAGGTAAATGCAACTTAAAACCACAATAATGGGAGGCTGAGACAGGAGGATTGCTTGAGCCCAGGAATTTGAGACCAGTCTGGGCAACATAGTGAGACCCCATCTCAAAAGAACAAACAACAACAACAACTAAAATCACAATGAGATACCACTCCACACCCACTGAGATGGCTATAATAATTTTTTTAAATGGAAAAGAGTGTTGGTGAGGGTAGGGAGAAATCATAACTTCATACACTGTTGGTGAGAATGTTAAATGGTGCAGTCATTGTGGAAAACAGTCTTGCAGTTCCCCAAAAATTCACACACAGAGTTACCATATGACCCAGCAATTCCATTCAATCCAATAGGATTGAAAACATATGTCTCCACAAAAACTTGTATATGAATGGTCATGTCAACATTACTGATAACAGCCAAAAAAATTTGAAACATCCCAAATGTCTATCCAAATTGATGGATGAATAAGCAAAATGTGGCATATCCATAACAATGGAATATTATTTAGCTGTAAGAAGCAATAATATCCTAATTCATACTACAACATGGATAAACTCTGAAAACAGTATGTTAAGTGAAAGCAGTCTGTCAAAACTGTCACTTGTCCCTTTATGTATTAATCCTGAGCATCCTTCAAGCCCCAGCTGAAGAAGTAATTCCCCCGTAAAGCTTTTGCTGACATCCAGGCAGCATTAACTATGCACTCCCTTGCGCTACTACCATATAATTATGTCATTGTCTTTAAGCCTCGATTTCCTCAACTGTATATGGCATATGTTTTATGGGATTATTATGAGGACTAAAAGAGATAATACAGGCAGAGCATTTAATACAGTGCCTGATACACAGTAATCATGCATAATAAGCACAATTATTTATAGTATTATATTATGGAACTTCTGTACTCTTACATATTTTTTAGTTCACCTGTCTTTACACTAATAGAATATGAACTTCTTCAGTGTGGAGGCCAGGTCTTTATCCAGCTCTGTATGACCAGGGATTGGCACAGTGCATAGAGCAGATAATTTGCTAAATGGCCACTGAGACAGAATCTGTAAGATAAGGAAAGTCTCACTATTTTTCCAATATTAATTCTGTTTATCCTTAATGACAAATAAATTAAATGTTATGTAAAAAAAGAAAGTAGTTAGTCATAAAAGGTCACGTACTGTATGATCCCATTTATGTGAAATGTCTAGAATATGCAAATCCATAGAGTAGATTAGTGGTTGCCAGTGGCTGTGGGGAGGGAGCCTGAAGAATGACCACTAATGGGTACAGGGTTTCTTTTTTGGGTGATGAAAATGTTCTGGAATCGAATAGTGGTCATGGTTGCACAGTTTGTGAATATACTAAAGGCTACCAAATTGTACACTTTGGAAGGGTGACTGTTAGGTGAATTACATCTCAATAAAGCTGGTATTTAAAAATGAAAGTAAGTTAAATAATGACTGTGGGATGTTAAATATGAATTTCCTCTAGTCTTAAGAGAACAGTTTAGCAACAGACACATTTTAATGATAATGATTCATATATTAAAGGGCCAAATTGATGTATGGTCAATCTCTTTGGAAACTGAAGCAAGCTCTAGTATGACAGAAAAAGTGCTTTGGCCTTTGAATCCAGCTGTTTACCATTACCTAACTATGTGACTATTAGGCAAGTTATTTGACCTGAGTCTCAGTTTCCTCATCTGGAAAAGGAAAGTGATAATACCTCTCTCACAGGATTGTTTTAGAGATTGAATGAAATGACATACACACATAGTAAGCACTAAAAAAGTGCAAAACCAAGCAGAACAAATTCATTCAAAGCAAAGTTCTGGGTGTGAGCTTCAAAAACAAATTAAGGCAAGGACTTCACCTTTAAGGGGTTCAGGGTCAACTAGGCTATTACTAAATTATCATCAACCAGTTCTATTCTTTCCAAGCTTTCTGTATAGCTACCCATTTACATCCTCAAAAAGTTTTTCACCCCTCCCACCCCTCACTGCCACATGTATGATTACGGAAACATCGAATAAGGGAGTGCAAAGAATTCTATTTATGCGTGGTTGTTAAGTGAACACAATAAAGCAGTCATCTGTGATATGTTTTCCCAAAGTATTACACAATAGAAGCCCGGCTTCCATGCACTCTGTTGAGGAACACATTCCAGCATGTTTTTGAGATATATGCAGACTTCTCAGCAGCTGCTGATCTCTAGGTTCAAGCCACATATCATCTTAACCACACCCTTGTTGGGTTATGAGTCACTAAAATTACACGGATACTGGCTATATACAATGATTTAGCGAGTCACTAACGTAAGAGTAGTCTAATTTATTACTGGAGAAACTTACCTGGCAGTTTGCATTTATTGATGCTCCTTGTAGGCTGAAGACAACCAAGGTCGACTATAGAATGTGGTTTGCCTTGGCTCTTTTTATTAGTCTTTTTCAAAATCATCATCTTATTCAAGTTTACTATTTTATGTAGGTCTGTTTGTGCTTGAAAATGGAAATCTAGCTCTCCCCAACATAATCAGGTTATATTATACAGCACATATCAATACTGCTAAATGAACCACTCTTTCTCATTCTATACTGGTGCAATCAATGATCCAGGTTTTTCTCCTTTCTCTAATTGAAAGAGATCTATTTGAGCAAGCAATTTCAGGAAAGCAAGACAGTAAAATATTCAGAAAATACCTACCCATCTTAGAGGCGATCTTTACTCTATCTAGATGAGTAAAATTCTCTTACACGGAGAATAACTTTTCATTAATTCACTTTCCTTCTTCCTCTACTAACTCCAAAAGAACAATTCCCCAGAAATTAAAGAAAGTGAAAACAATCTTAAAAACCATAAAACTGATAATACTCTTTTTTTACACTGGCCAAAACATCTTGGGTCAGCTAGATTCTGATTTCGGCAACCTGATACATCACTTCAACCCAGGTGGCTCCATCTTGACCCAGACACTGCTATAGGCGAACAGATGTTTCTCAAATTTCACATGACATTATCCATTCCACCTGTTTTTGTGACAGATGATTTACTTTCTGACACTTAAACAAATCTCCCTACCCACCCCTCCCAATCTCCCCCCAAATCAGACCACCTCAACAGAGAATTGCCTGAACTTAATCAGATTCTAGTCCAACCCCTTAAGTTTACAGAAGCAGAAACAAACTTCAGAAAGGGAAAGTAACTTTACTAGTGTCACTTGGAGGAGGGAGTATAGCCAATGCTGTAGCTGAACCTGAAATTATGCCTCTGGGGTCTTAGTCTCAGTGCTTTTGTATAACTCCACAAGTTTATCTCTATAGCATTTTGGTTATCCATTCATCCATCCACATATCTTTCAAAGCCCTCCCTTTATAGCACCAAAAAGAAAAAAATAGAGATGAACATTTTTATCAAGTTTATTGAGGTATAATTTACATCAGCAAAATTTGCCCAACTTAGTGTGCATTTCTATGAATTTTGACAAACACATGCAGTCATGTAACCACTACCACAATTGAGATATAGAATAGTCTTGTTTCCCCAGAGAATCCCCTTGGGTGGCATTTTACTCTTACTATATTGATAGTGCCGGTAATGGACTTACGAGTTAATGGAAAGTCCTGTTTGATTAATCAGTTTAGCGTAACTGAGAGGCAACCAAAAGACACTTTCGGTCCCACTTTTGCTGAAAAGCTTTCTGAAATGCCTGAATTCATTTGTTGCCTTATTAAGTAGAGAAGAGAAATGTAGGAAATAACAGCCAACTTGCTTGGTCGGGTAGGATTCCTTAGGTGGCAGGCCTGGGAAATCAAGGATGGATACTAGCAAACAAACAGGCAAGCATGCGTGCACGTGCGAAAGACAGAGCGTGAGAGCAAGAAAGAGCAAGAGAGAGAGAGAGAGAGAGAGAGAAATCAAGAAAGAGGGCAAGAGAAAGAAAGCAAGACAGAGAGCAAAAGAGAAAGAAAAAGAGAGCAAGAGAAAGCGAGAGAGTAAGAGAGAGAAAAAAAGAGAGAGTAAGAGAAAGGGAGAGAGAGAAAGAAACAGAGAAAGAAAGAAAAAGAGAGAGAGAGGAAGAGAGGGAGAGCAAGAGAGAGTTAGCAAGGGTAAGAAAGAGAGGGAGAGAAGTGGGAGGGGAGATGGCAAAGGGAACTTTGCTTATGGGTACATTTTGCAGAGTTACTCTTGACTACTGATTATAGACACAAAAGATTTGTGAAACCCCGATGAATGTGTGTCCACCTGTCTGCAAATGCCTGGAAATAGGTTTTTAAACTTGTTTTCTTATTTTCCTAATTGTGCCACAACCTATATATGTAACAAAATGCCCAGTAAATTAAGGGTCCTTAATCAAGATATAACTGCAAAAACATTTTAGATTTTTTTTAAGAAATATAGGTTCTCTGTAAATTCATATAAATGCCATCATAGTTTTTGGATATTTATTTGGCCTCAGATGCCAGGTAATTCTCATCTTTATTATTCCAATGACTCGTTTTCTTGTCTTAGATTATTGGGATAATTGTCTTTATTCTTCTCCTAATTGGTTTCTGATTTCTCACTTTGATCTGAACAATACACATCAACATTATAAATTGCCTCAAATCTGACAAAAGGCAGAGTTTAATTTATAAATTGTTTACGTCTGGTTGCTTGGTAACTGGCTAAAAAGAGGAATATGGAACATGAATCTGTAGCAGCCTTTTGCTTCTTAACTGATAGCCCATATTTTAAGAGGAGTGTGATTCTAATCAAAGATTATAGAGTAATACTATTTTCTTATTAGTAGAATAGAACAATAAAAAATAACAATTGCTTAAGAAAGGAAATGAATCAATTGAAATTTCTTCAATATGCTGGTTATTGTCTCACAGTTAATCAACATAAAGAGCCATTACACTCAAATAACTAATAACAATGATAAAAACAAATAAATAAATTTTTAGATGGCTTATTATGTTGTTATAAGAACTGTTACATATATAAACTCATTTAATCTTCACAACTACCCTATAGGGTACATGGTATTATTTTACCCACTTTGCAGATGAAAATATTGAGAAGTCCATGCCCAAGATCACATAGGTACTTAAGTGGCAGACCCAGGATACAAATCCAGAAAATCTGATTCCAGATCCAATGTTTTTAACCATTATACAATACCTCCTCTCACTATATATTAGGTCAAATAACTTTCTTAACTGATCCCAAACAACCCACTCACTGACGAACTCTATCTGATTTAGTGTCTATTTGAAATAGCCTCCTATATATGGATAGTTAAGTTTAGATACCGCTGTCTCTAAGAAAATGAGGCCATTTCATCACTATACGCAGTCCTGAGCTCCCTATTTCTGTCCTTAAACAGTCAGTCGTCCTGTGGCAACGGTATCCTTAGCCTGGTGTATTATGTTCTTCTCCTGGTGTATTATGTTCTTCTCCTTTACCAAAATTAGAATGGCCTACAAACATAATAAATATTGATATTGTTTTGTGCCGTGGTTGGATCCATGAATATTTTTAAGTAACTAGCATGTACACTGGCAATATCAATGTGTTGCTGTAACATTCAAATGTAAAATATCCAGATGTCTAGCATCTTATGTACATTAGCACTAACCCTATGACATGATGGACTAAAACGAGATTTTTCACGGCATTCCCAGAGCATTAGTGCCACATTATTACAGACTGTTTTACATACCATTGAAGACCAAATGGCAAAAGTGAAGAATAAGCAGAGCCTCAGAACTTGGAATTCCTTTAAGGACAGTGAGATTCTAGTGAGAGTTCTTTGTTCGATACCTAGGCACTTTCTCAGCAGTTTTCTCATAAATTTCTTGGTTTCCAAATTTGTTGTAAGCAACTGTTAATG